CACCATCTGTTATGGATTTGAATTGTGTCCCCCAAAAATGATTCCCAGTATTGTGTGGTTGCCCACCATTTTGTCATCTGATGTGATTTTCCTATGTGTTATAAACTGTACTTCTATAATGTTAATGGGGCAAGATTAGAGGCAGTTATGTTAATGAGCGCTGGTGGCACAGTGGTTAGGAGCTATGGCTGCCAACCAAAAGGTCAGCAGTTAGAATCCACCACCAGCTCCTTGGAAATCCTATGGGGCAGTTCTACTCTGTCCTCTAGGGTTGCTAGGAATCAGGATCAACTCAATGGCAACAGGTTTTTTTATGTTAATGAGGCAGGACTCAATCTACAAGATTAGGTGTATCTTGAGTCAATCTCTTTTGAGATATAAAAGAGAGAAGCAAGCAGAGAGACTGGGGGACCTCATACCACCAAGAAAGCAATGCTGGGAACAGAGCATGTCCTTTGGACCCACGGCCCCTGTGCTGAGAAGCTCTTGGACCAGGGAAGATTGATGACCAGGACCTTCCCCCAGAGCCGACCGCGAGAGAAAGCCTTCCCCTGGAGCTGATGCCCTGCATTTGGACTTCTAGCCTCCTAAGCTGTGAAAGAATAAATTTCCCTTTGTTAAAGCCATCCACTTGTGGTATGTCTGTTATAGCAGCACTAGATGACTAAGACATCATCTGTGCCACAAAAGTGCTGGTATTTCTTAGGTTCTTTCAGCAAGTCAGAGACCTTATTGCCTAGCTGTACTACAGTTAATCAGGGAAGAGTTTTAGGTTCTGGAGGTATATTGGATAGTTACGGAGAAATCTCTAACGCACAGTATTTTCATCGTGGGCCATGGGCCTGAAAGAAATTAGGCTAATCCAAGATAAAATGAGGCAAATACATTTTTGAAATGAAAATTAAGATTCTGACCCACAGTATTACTGTGGCTTATACTTAGTCACTAGGTGTGCCAGTGTTTAAACATTTTACTATAGTAACAGTAGTATTGTTCCTAAGAGTAAATTGCATCCGAGTTCTTTTGAGGTGAATATACGATTTTGACCTTTTTTAAAAAATAGTTGTTTTTATTCAGTCAGTGAAAGAGGTAGTCTCCCATCCTGAGCAGATCTTCTCCTTTTAAAGAGGAAATCTCCCACGAGCTAACTGTTGCATCAAGAACGAAGTTATTATGCTCGTTGTTCCTCTGTGTTTAGGAGTACCACTTTTTTTGTTTATACTGAACAAGCTTCTGTAATGACACAGCTTTATAAAAAAAAGCAACATAAAAGATATGGAAGTTTAAATTATTTCTTAACTTTGGTTTTCATCTGTAAAGTCTATCTTTACTCTAAATTGAACACTTATGTCTTTCAGAAACCAGACAGCAGAATGCTCGGTACAAGTACAGAGAGATGAGTAAGGCGTGCTCCTCGCCGAGGGGCCTTAGTGTTTCCACCATGCTGGACTGTAAAAAAGTAAAATATCCAGGGGGAACCAAAACTAAGGGGGAAAAAAACGAGCCTTGTAAACTTATAAAACCTTTCTGTTCTCAGAGTTGCTGAAGCCAGTCCTTCCCTCAACATTTTTCTTTTTAAAGGAACACCAGCCACCTTGCCTTCTCCCCTCTCTCCTTTCTTTAGAGAGGTATCTTCTTCACTTCTGGAGAAATATACTAGAGGGCAATAGAGATAGGATTCCTCTTGTTCTTGTAAATTAATAGTTGAGTTTCTACAGTGTGCGAAGCTTACATGTAAAAGAAGTAACTTCTTCCTTGAGTTTTTCAGGGACACACAAGAAATAATGAATATTCCTCACATGCCTGCTTTGGCGTCCCGCTTTCATCGTTGTTGGGTGCCATCAAGCAGGGGATGCACATTAGCTGTGTTGTTCATTCAGTAACAGTTATGGGGCAGATGTGTGTCAGGTATTGTGTTTTAGTGAAATAATTAGTTTTCGTATGATCCAGAAGAATCCAAAGTCATAATATTTTTGACACATGCACGAGACTTTAAAATTTGAATGGAAAGAATTTATGGGATAGACTTTGAGTAAAGCTTGTTTGCCACAGTTTTCTTTTTATAAAAAATGGAAGTTTAATCAATTTACCTCAATAGCTGGTTTTAAGAAAATGTGATCAAGATGGCTATAAAACACTTGAAATTTCTGTCTGTGTGCAGTTGGAGAGGAGATATCAGCATAATTTTTCCATAGAACAAACTGAAGTTCTGTCTGTGAAGTAAATAATGAAATTAAATAATGCTGGATTGAAACTCAGAATTCACATTAAAACTCAATAGTCATTCTTAGAAGAGCCATCGTAAATATGTTTGGTATTGCAGTTCAATTCCTACGTTGATATAAATAGTCAAATTACGTTTGACTTGCCATCAACATTTTTCCAAAAATGAGTCTATGTTTTTCACGTTTTATCTTTACATACATATATATTAGAAAACTATTTGTGGCTAAATGGCAACCCTTTTTCAAACAGTCATTGATAAATCAAAATATTTATATTTGAAAATAACATTGTCTCCTGTGTGTTTTTAGATACTCTGAAATGGACAACTCTTCTGTTCAACTGAAATTACGAGGTGATCACTCACCTACTAACTAGTAAACATGATTTGTTGCTGTTAGGTGCTGTGGAGTTGATTCTGACTCATAGCGACCCTACGTACAACAGAACGAAACACTGCCCGGTCTTGCGCCATCCTCACAAGCATCGTTATGCTTGAGCTCATTGTTGCAGCCACTGTGTCAGTCGATCTCACTGAGGGTCTTCCTCTTGTTTGCTGACCCTCTACTTTACCACACATGATGTCCTTCTCCAGGGACTGATCCCTCCTGATAACGTGTCCAAAGTACGTGAGATGAAGTCTCACCATCCTTGCTTCTAAGGAGCGTTCTGGTTGTACTTTTTCCAAGACAGATTTGTTCATTCTTTTGGCAGTCCATGCTATATTCAAATACAGTATTTGAATATATCATGGTAAACATGATTAAGAGAATGTTAATTTACTAGGTATCATAGAGAAAAACCCAGAATAATTCATATATCTATAAACAAAATAAGTTAATGTGAAATGTTTGATACTGTTATTTACTCAGTGACAAGTCATAAAATTTTGCTGGTATTCAATAACTAATTTGAAAATAGTTATACATAATTTTATTTGCAACATATGTAACAGATACAAGATTGCTGTCCAGACTATATAAAAGACTCTTAGGAGTCAACAAGTAGAAAACCAATAGACCAAGAGGAAAATGATCTCACTCAGAAGAGAGAGGAAACACCAGTCATTATACTTTTTAAGGCACCCTGGTGGCACAGTGGTTAAGAGCTCGGCTGCTAACTAAAAGGTCAGCTGTTCAAACCCACCAGCCACTCCTTGGAAACCCTATGGGGCGTTCTACTCTGTCCTACAGCGTTGCTGTGAGTTGGAATTGACTTGAGGGCAACAGTACTAAATAAACTTAGTTTCACTAGCAACTAGGGAAATCAATACTAAAACAATATTTTTTTCTTTTGCCTATTATGTTGACACAATTTTTAAAAACTGATTTGGTAGTTATGGGAAATTGGGTAGGCTCATAAACTTAGGGGAAGTGTAATTGGATATAACTTTTTTTCAAGCGTCCACATTGTACTCCATAAATGTTATCTGAAATATTTACTATAAGCATGTATCCATATATAACTTGTTTAATTTAAAAAAAATAGAGAATCTGTGGATTTTGAAGTGCACTTGGGGAAACGCAAGCTGTGGGTGACAAAAATAGCTTTAATAAGATGTCTTTGAATGCATATTCGGCCAGGATAGTCGCGACCCAAGTCAAAAGATGACCAACTCATACTAACTGCACTTTTTTTGAAGGTCATTTGGTCTCACCGTTTTCAGTGCTGACAGCCAGAGTCAAGAGTTAGTAAATAACCTTTCCTTTAAAACACCAGTACCTCCAGACGGATCACTAAGAGGCACTCCTACACAAATGTACAAATCCAGTCAAGTTGCTTTTCCATTTCCTCAGGTTGGCTCCACTGAAGGACTGGACATTTTGATCCACAGAAGAGTTGTAGTCATTCTGGAGTACTTTAGAGGATGAGGAAGTTGTGTCTAGAGAGAACTACAGAAAGGGAAGTGGGAGGGCCGGATACCAAAGACGGGCTTGCCTTACTTTAAATGTGTCCCTTAGGACTTTCCTGACCACTTCAGAGGTTCTGTGAGAAAATGAACCCTGACCCTCTAGCCCTGGGTGTGCAAGCAGACTTGTGGAACAGGCCAGCTCTAAGTCAGAGGTCATCTGTGCCTGCCTGTCCAGTTCTGGGGACCAGAATGTTAAAGGGTGTTGTTGAGAAACTAAGAGACGCTTCTCGGAGCCCCATCAAGGTTGGTGAGAAATCTGGAAATCATGTTATTTGAGCTAACAGAGTACATTGAAGAGGGACACAGTGACTTTAAATATTTGAAGTTCTGTCATTTAGATTTTGTTTGTTGTCACAGTTTGAGAGCCTAGGGATCAGGTAGAAGCTAGAAAGAGGCGCATTTCAGCACACTGTAAGGATTGGCTTCTCATTCTTGGAGCAATACACTAATGGAATGGGCTGCTCTCCAAGGCTGTGGGCTCCTGCTGGCCCTAGAAATGAGTTGGAATCAACTCGGCGGCAACGGGTTTGGTTTGGTAGTTGGAAAACCTACAAGCCAACCCATATAGGAGTCAGATACACAAGGGGTATGCTTAAAGGGTTTTGTTTTGCCGAGTAGGGGCCAGAGCTGACGTCCACTCTAGAGGCTTGGCTGAATGAGCTTCCAGTCTCCCTTATCTGTCCTCTGCACACAGTGCTCACCCTCTGCTCTGAATAAAGTGCAACAAACATTTGAAGAATGTTAGTCTGATCGGGAGCCAGATTATTAACCTACTCAAGGCCCTGTGCCTCTGCCAGGCCTTACGTTCGCCGTGAGCGTCATATAACCTATTACGTCTCTTTTTTTTTTCTGTCTATTTCTATAGTGTCCATGGACAACATTGGCGAACAAGGTAAAATACATTTTATTATTGTCGTAGATGTAAATGTTAGAAATAGTTTAAAAAATTAAATATGATTAATTTATATTTGGTTGGAATTAATAAATTATTCTCTGAGAATGTAGAGATAAAATGAGAATTCAGTCCTTAGTCTGAATTCTATCAGGCATTTGGCAAAGAACCTTACCCCGAAATGGCCAAAATTGTGCCAAAAATTCTTGTGGCTTTGAGATACAGAAATCTCAACAATCTTCTGTTCCAGCTTAGGGTATTACCCCATACTTGAGTCACCTACCTAATTCATGGAAAATATCGTTGGTTCTCGCCGTCTCACACCGACTGACGTGCCAATGAGGATGACTCATTGTTTGTATGTGTTTATATTTAATGGTTCTGTAAATACGAATAGTATAGTTATTCTTTAGAAAAATTAAAAATTGCTATTAAAACTTTAAAATACCAAATACGTTATATTTCATATTAGCATATTTTATTCAGCTGTATCTTACAGAATTAAGTTGTACATTAATGTATTAAATAGTCAGGATCACATTATCTAAACTTAATATTTTATATTTGTGATTAGTACTTCAAGATTTAAAATACCACACAAACTGCATTTCTGTACATTACCTGAAAAAAAGGATCTGGAATGCTTTTTAACAACTGGCCCGTGTGATAGCTCAGACACTTGAACTCCCACTGGAGGAAATCTGTCTTTGTCCAGATGGTCTCTGTTCAAATATGTTGTTGTTCAAATAGATGAGGGCCACTAGCTTTGACTAGGGCTAAGCAAATCAACAAACGGCTTCTCCAATAGGAACTGCTTTTTTGCCATTCTCCATCAGTAAACAGAGTTCTTAAAGCCTGCATGTTAACATTTATTTAATGCTGTGTTTATTCTTTAAAGTTTCAGGTATAACTACTTAATTTTACAATTTCGTAAAGGTCCCTGTTTGCCATTTTGCCAGTAGGTAGACCTGTCTAAATCAGATGGGAGGGTTCCATACCCAGGCATGTATTTAATTATGCATTGCTAGGGATTATTTTTTTTAAATGTTAGCTTTATGTATAACAATTAATTCTTTGCATTGTGCTTATTCCAGTATGATGTGAAAGGACTTTTATAGTTTATTATAATTGGTAGTTTGACTATTTGAGAACAAGCAGCTCTGTTACGGAGAGCATGATTTTAGAACGTGTTTGCATACTGCAGTGGTAACTGTGTTTCTTTTATTTTAGTCTTGTGCCTGATTGCTTACCATCTACTTTTTGCAATGTTCGTCTGGTCATACTGGAGAACTATCTTTACGTTACCAATGAATCCTTCAAAAGAAGTAAGTTAAAATATCAGTAAAGTTATTCTAAAGAGGGAAAGGTTTTTATTAATGTTGTGAAGGTCGCTGGGTGGTATAAACAGTTTGTGCCTGTCCGCTAACTAAAAGGTTGGCGGTTCGAACCAACTCAGTGGAAGAAACCTGACGATCTGCTTCTATAAAGATTATCGCCAAGAAAACCCTCTGGAAATCAGTTTTATTCTGTAACACATGGGGTTTTGGTTTATTACTGTTGTAAACTTACTGAATGTGGTGATTCTTTGGATTTTATTTTTTTTTAATTAATGTGTCTGTTAGTAAGTAATTGAATTTTCACTTGGCAAATAGTATTTTTATACTGGATGAGTATTATGTTTCTAGAATTAAATCTGTTATGGGTTCCATTTCTACTTTAAAGTTAGACATCAGGATGGATGGATGGATGGATGAGTAGATGGATGATGGATAGATAAATATGTAAATAGATAGAACTGGAAGGTTGATATACTTCTGTTAGAATTATCACACTAAAGGTGTATTACACCATCGCCGGGTGACACAAACAGTTAAGCGCTCGACTAGTAGCCGAAAGGCTGGCAGTTCAAGCCCACCCACAGGCGCCTTGGAATACAGGCCTGGCAGTCTGCTGCTGAAAGGTCACAGCCTCGGAAACCCTTTGGAGCAGTTCTACTCTGCACACACGGGGCCACCGTGAGTTGAAATTGTCAGCTGACAACATCATTAAAGGTGTGTTAGTTGGCTGACAGGCACTAGAAACAGCTACAGAATAAAGGCTTAACTAATCTTCTAGTCATTCAAAAAGGCTATAGAGAGTCCACAGCTGCCAGGTACCCGGGCTTCTTCTGTCTTGTTCTTTGCTATGTGTAGCCTTCATTCCTAAGGTCACCTCTTAGCCTAAAATGGCTACTCTCGTTCCAGCCATCATGACTACATTCCAGCCAGCAGGCTAAAGAAAGTAGGTAAGAGGAGAAGTAAATATCTTTTTGCTGATGCCATTTCCACTTACATTTAGAACTTAGTTATATGGCTACATCTACTTGCATGGAAGTCTTCATCCTTGACGGCCATGTTACCCACTATAGAAGAAGGGAAGAAGGGTACTGGTGGACAACTGGCAGTCTCTGATAGAGAACTGATTAAATTTTCATGCTGTAAAGACCATTCTGGTTATCTGTTTGTTTCTGGTCTCTTATCCTGGTGAATTGTTATAGGAGCAAAGGACTGTGTCTTACTCATTGTTTTATTCTTGGCACTTCGTCCAGTATATGTTTGTTGAATAGCAATAAATTTTGCTACCAGTAATAGTAGTGTCGTTTTCGTAAGCCAAGTTAAAAAAAAAACGAGTTCAAGCTGCAACACAGTAGATTATTTTCTGAAGTCATCAGTTTGAAATGTAGCTGTGGTCAAAAAGGCCAATAAATATGCCATATGAGCTTAGAAAGAACGTTAAAAACAAAATGTTTGCACAGAATTAATGGTATGCCTGGCCTAGAATTGCTTCAGATACAGCCTTGTTCCTTCTTCTCCTCACTTCTTTTTCTTTACCTCCCCCTTTTTGCTCCCTCAAGCCATATTTGCTTCTTTCTACCATCTCTCTTACCTCCATCCTGGCGTCAGTTATAGGTTTGAAGGAAAATGTTGAATTCTTCCGTCGGTGATTTTATCCACTCTTGTGGTTTAACTAAAACCTCTGTGGGGATAACTCCCAAATCTATTTCCAGCTCTGAGTTCTCTGCTGAACTTCAAATGTATCCATCTACCTGACAGACATAGCTTCTTGATCATTCCCTGACACCTCAAATGCAACACATCCAAAAACTGAAATCGTCTTCTTTCCCACATTGTGACTCATCTGTTGCTTCTACCAGTTAATACCACTGCCGTCCACCTCATCATTCAAGATGAATGTCTGGTAGCCATGCTTGAATTCTCTCTTTTCCTCACATTTCCCCCAACATCCACAACCTACTGATGTTTACGTTTCTAATTTTTCCTTCTTAAATCCAGCCCTTCTTTTCATCCTTGCCCTCAGCCAGGCTCTCAGTGATCTCTCGTGTCTGAGACATTGTAGTTGTCACCTCTGTGGTGTTGATGTGTCCAGTCTTGCCATTCTCTTCATAGACCAAACAACCAAACCCATTGCTGTCGAGTCAATTCCAACTCATAGCAACCCTATAGGACAGAGTAGAACTGCCCTATAGGATTTCCAAGGAATGGCTGGTGGATTGGAACTGTCAACCTTTTGGTGAGCAGCCGAGCTCTTAACCACTGCGCCACCAGGGCTCCTCTCTTTATAGATTCCCAGCCCCAATGCATCCTCCACCCTGAAGCTAGAGTGAGCCATCTAAAAAGAAATTTAAAAATTTCACTCTACTGCTGGTTTTTATCCAGAGACTCCACATATCCCACAGGATAAAGGCCAGTCTCCCTAATTTGACAATAATGATTCTTGTCTAAATTTCCGACTTACCACTACATACTCGAGTAGTTCTTAACTACATGTAGTTTTCTGTGTTGTTGTTAGGTGCCGTCGAGTCTGTTCCAACTCACAGCGACCCTGTCTACACACAACAGAATGAAACACTGCCTGGTCCTGTGCCATCCTCACAATCATTGTTATGCTTGAGCCCATTGTTGATCTCATCCACCCTTATCGCTTTAATATTATTCCATTGCTACAGCCTTCAAATCAATATTTTTAGCTTGGTCTTCTCTCCTGAACTCCAAACTCATTTCCAGCTACCAATTTGGCATCTATTAGGCATTTCAGAGAGCACTGGTGGTGCAGTGGTTAAGAGTTTGGCTGCTGACCAAAAGGTTGGCAATTCAAATCCACCAGCTGCTCCTTGGAAACTCTATGGGGGCAGTTCTACTCTGTTCTATAGGGTTGCTATGAGTCAGAATCAGCTCAATGGCAATGAGTTTTTTTTCTTTAGGCATTTCAACTTTAACATATCTGAAAACCAACTTCTGATTTCCCCAGCCATTCCACAGTCCTCCTGTCCTATAGTTTTTCCCATCTCAATAATGGCAACTCCAATCTTCCAGTTGTTCAGGCCAAAAACTTTGGAGGCATCCCTGACTACTCTTGCTCTCACACCTCACGTGCAGTCAGTCAGCCAGTTCTATGGACTGTCCCCTCAGGATATGTCCACAGCGTAAGCTCATGCCGCCTCCACTGCTGCCCCCATGGTCCAAACCACCTTTAGCTCCACTTGCACATTTGCAGTCGCCGACTGACGAGTTCCCTCGCTTTTGTCCTTGCCCTCTTCCATGTGTTTTCACCTCAGTGGCCAGAGTGATCCTTCCAAAACACAAAACAGATCATAGCATTCTTTTGCTCGGAACTGTCCAATGACGTCTGAGCTTGCGCAGAGTGAAATCCTAATTCCCTACTATGATTTGAAAGACTCCAGGTGGCCTGGCCCTCTGTGACTACCTCTGACTCACTTTTCCCTCTTTAATGCTGTTTTTGTCACATTGGCTTCTTTGCTGTTCCATCAACCTGCTAAGCATATTCTACCTCTGAGGCTTGAAACCTACTCTTCCCTGAAAACCTGGAATACAGTTCCCACAGATAACTGCATGACCAGGTCCCTTAATGTCTTCATATCTCTGCTCAACTGTTACCTCGTCATTGTGGCCTTCCATGACCAGGTCCCTTAATGTCTTCATATCTCTGCTCAACTGTTACCTCGTCATTGCGGCCTTCCATAATCAGGTCCCTTAATGTCTTCATAATTCAATAATGACTTCTAATTTTCCAAAAAAATTATACATGAGATCATCTGGTAAGAGTGATGAGGGAGATGGGGTGATTGAGTTTTGGGAGAGTAGAGAAGGTTTGAAATAGTGCTTGGAGAGAGTGGAAAAGTAAAATGATAACATATTTATATTAATTGAATCATTCTATATGTGTTCTGTTAGATGATTTTTTGGTTCAACATTATGTTGATATGATTTCCTTTGTGCACAGCTGTAGTTCATTCATTGTTAGATGCCATATAAACAAAACAATTAGGGACAGTAAGAAATTAACCACAATAACCAATAATAAAATAGAACAATCATAACAATATACTGTAGTAAAAGTTATGTGAATGTGGTCTGTCTCTCTTTCTCGCACTTCAAGGTCATTATTAAGTAAAATAAGGGTATTTTGGGACCGCAGTTGACCACGGGTAACCGAAACCGTGGAAAGCAAAACCGTGGATAAGGGAGGACTCGGGAGACTACTGAATAGGAGTTCAGATAGGCTTTTTAAAGTGATGTTTGTGATTGTCAAGTTGGAACCCAAACAAATCTTTATTTTTCTCAAGTAAACATTTTTACTTTTAATTTTTTTGGCCTAATTGGAACTATAAGGAGGAAAATTAATAATTAGTACTTTGAGTACTGGAGGAGAAGTAATGTAATGATTATCACTAAGTTAAAACTCAAATGAGGAAACATGCTTGACAGATTCACTTCTGTTTTTGTTCTTACTGTAATCCAAGTGAAAAGCTTATCCATTAGAGCCGGATTTATTTGGTCATTTTGTCTATTGATATAACTAATATTTGGATAGAAATTTACAGTTTATAAAGTACTTTTACATATTCTATTCCTTTTGAGTTTCAAAAACATCTGGGAAAGTGGGTATTATTTTGATTACAATTATTATTCCCCTTTTCTAGACGCATAAACTAATGAATGATCAGTGAGGTTAAGAGACTTACCCAGATTCCAAACTCCATTACGTCTCTGACTATACAAATACATATAAAATAAACTATTAATATTTCATATATGCGTTTTTCTAGGAATAGTAGAATAGACTAATATATTATTTCTTTGCAAATACTGATTAAAATTTAAATGTATTCCACAGTTCCATCTCTCTTATGCAGAGAAAGAGCTGCTGGAGAGAGAACCAAGAGGAGAAGCCCATCAAGAAATTCTCAGGCGAGCAGGCAAAGATCTTCCCATCTACACCAGGACCATGTCTGGAGGTAAACGCCGATACTGAGCCCTTTGCAACAGTATCAGAATGATGTACTTTAGTGACTATTAGAAAGCACAGCTATATACTCGAAACTGTTGAACTCTCATTTGAAAATACTGTCTTGTATCTTGGAATTGCTAGTAAATCTTCCCCTGTATAATTCCATAAAGAGGATGGAGACGTGAGTAACACTCTGGTACAGAGATTTCAACTTTAGGTCTCTTCTGCCTACTTCACTGTATTCCATGGAGATGTTGGAGCTGTTGCAGTCTTCCTCTGTAGCAGAATTTATTTTAAAGTTTAAACTTTAGACCCTTCTTTTCTCCTTTAACTTAAGAGAACAATATCTATTATGAGTATAAAATTATTATTTTACATGTGGTTTTCACAAATATGGAGCCCTGGTGGCTCAGTGGTTAAGAGCTTGGCTGCTAACCAAAAGGTCAGCAGTTCGAATCCACTAGCTGCTCCTTGAAAACCCTATGGGGCAGTTCTACTCAGTCCTATAGGGTCACTATGAGTTAGAATTGACTCAATAGCAATGGGTTTGGTTTTTTGTTTGTTTGTTTTTCTTTAATAAATGACTGCTTGAATTTCCAAAGCTGGTTAGTGACAGTACAAGATCACAAACCTGGTCTCCTCATTCCTGGTCCAGTGCTTTTCCACTCTGCCCCCACGATACCACTGAATTAGAAAAAGGGGAAAGCATACATAATATCAGAACAAATTGTTTTCATTAATAATAACAACTACACTTTGGATTTACAAGTCACCTCCTTTATATTTACATAATGTTAAAGATGTCGCCTCTCATTTCTCTCAGGTATTTTATGCCTGTTTCCTGAGGTGGACTTACGATTCCCATTTTTTGTGACAGTCTGGAATAGAATCTGGGTTTCTAATAGAATTTTTATTTATATTTCTAATGCAAACATCCTGGATGCCTACTAAAATCAATACTGTATTTTTACTCAAATAACCTGCACCTTCTGCACTTGTTTGCTGGCTGCGCCCTGCCGCCATGAGGTATTTGATAAGCGCGCTATGCTGATTTTTTTACAGCAACATGTGGAAGAGGATTAGCATGGTGGTGCTCGTGAGGGTGCCTCATGTGGGGGGAAGGCACAGCCGGCAAACAACATAGAGGGCGTGTGTTATTTGCGTAAAGATATGGCATTAGCTGGCGAGAGGCATTGACTAAGTTAAATGACACCAAGTATAATAAATATATTATAATGCCGTGATGCTTTTCTGGAAAATGTAGAATGTTAAGGTAAGCATCATTCGGAACAGATTTTCAGTGGAGTGTCTACAGAGGCACTAAGGCAGGAGGTGTGAGAAGGTCCTTTTTATCCCCCAGCCACACCCTTCTCAGATCCCTTGGGTTGTATGGATAACTTCCTTCTTCCCACTGGGAAAGTTTGTGAACTAAAGCAACTGAAAGATTCGTTTGGTGTTCAACCTCTTTATACCGTATTTTTACACAAATAATGTGCAACTTATACATTTGTTTACCAACTACACCCTCTCCCCGCGAGGTATTTTCGTAAGCGCCGGTATACCATTTTTTTTCACACCAACATGTTAAAAAAAAACAAATGACATAGCAGTGCTTACAAAAGTACCTAGCAGGGGGAGGGCACAAAAACAGAAGGTGCACGTTATTTGCAAAAAATACGGTACTTGATAGAGAATTGAAGAAAGTAAGTGATAATGTAATTTAGGGTTTTACCATCCATTCTAAGCCCATAGTAATTCCTCCATACTCAAAAGAGAGAAATGTCAGCTGCCTGGTTTACATGGACTGCTATACAGAGAGAGGTGCGAACCCACCCAGCAGCTCTGCAGGAGAAAGACCTGGCAATCTGCTCCCGAAAAGATTACAGCCTAGAAAACCCTATGGGGCAGTTCTGCTCCGTCCCGTGGGGTCTCTATGAGTGGGAATCAACTCGATGACACAGAACAGCAAGATAGAGAGAACAAAGGAAACCACTCACAGACTTGGATACGGAGTGTGGTAAAGCAGTACATTAAGAAAACTGCTGATCTTCTGCTTGTCCTACGCTTTCTTCTGACACATCCATCCTCTACTTTTTTACAATGCTTTCCAAACTTTATTATTACTCATGAGGACTATTTGCATTTTAGTTCTCATCTGCCCTCATTCCTTTTCTCCAAAAAAAAAAAGTATGTACTTTGGCTGGGAAGACAATAGTTAGAGGGGATGTAGTGAATCTTCAACACTTATCTAAGAGTTTTTAAAATTGCATAATTAATATACATAGGCATAATTTAAGAAAAAATTTTCCGAAATCCAGCAAGATGATTAAAATAAAATCCCACCTTGACTGTTAGTAGTTTTTAAATGATAATCAGGTTATTCATTTTAAATTACAGTGCGATGATTTTAGCTGAGCATAATATGATACTTAAAGTTTTTTTATTAAAAGATTAAATATGATTAGGAAAGACTGTCAACCAAAAACTCCTAAGTTGTTTTGATTTCCTATGAGTTATTGCCCCATTGCGGTTTGATTTGAAAGTTTTTTGCCTAGTGTATTTTCAGTTAGAGATAAACCGATTGTCTTCGAGTCAATGCCGACTCATAGTGACCCTATAGGACAGAGTGGAACTGCCCCATAGGGTTTCCAAGGAGCGGCTGGTGGATTCGAACTGCCAGCCTTTTGGTTAGGAGCCAAGCTGTTGACCAGTGTGCCACCAGGGCTACAAATTAGAGATAGCCACCCATTCTGAGAGAATCTAGCACTGACTACCAAAACCCCATGGAAATTGGGTGACTTGAGACCCACCTGCTCACTCTGGTAGCCACTAGCCCCACGTGACTATTGAACACTTAAAACGCAAGCTAGTCTAAATTATGTAAAACACGTGGTGGGTTTCGGGGACTTTAGAACCAAAAAAAAAAAAAAAGATATCTCATTAATATTTTTATCCTGATTATATGTTGAAGTGATAATATTTTGGAGTCGTGAGGGGATGATGAAAAACTGATTTCAACATTAAAAGCAGCCCTACATCGGCGTTAATGTCTAAAGAGAGCCTGTTGTGTTCTTAGCTTATTGCAGAGGTTTCCTGTTACAGGGATAGTAGCGTTAGCTGACATATTATTGGTGGTTATGTGTTGCAAGTAATTTTTCCAAACTTTAATTCATTCGTTTGGTTTTCCTGATCCTAGTGGACTGCCTGTTTAACTGTTGCTTTCCTGTAGTTCTGGTAGACTTTGCATCCTGTAAGACGCTGGTGTACTGAAATCATTGTTTCTGATACCGGTAGGGAGAGGGATGGATCAGGGCTTCAGTTACATGAGTTAAAATTATTTTTTGGAAGTACTTCTTCCAACACTCACTTCTAATCTTGTCCCTCGCCCAACAGAGAAGATGTGTGATTTTTTTCCCCAATGTAAGCAACTAACGGAGTTTAGTCCTAAATTTCTAATGTGTGATTCTGTGGTTGTAGCTTCACGTAGTCATCCCAGCGGAGTACAGGAAATTAATTAATTTACTTAAGGGGGACACTGTGTTAACGTTGATGGACATGGACATATCTGTAACCTTTGTGAACCCACTGACAATTGAGAGTGCCTTAGAATAATTTCCCCAAGAGGTTCTCAGTTCTTGGAAACATCTCCTGAGAACCGTGGCTACAGGCACGTCATTCCACGTTTGCAGTTAGAGTCCAACAGCTCGTTTTTGTCACGTTTAACCTCAGTATGCTGTTTGGGATAGACGATAAAATCTTTTAACGGTAGATTCACTGCTCTGTTAAATCTGAGGCTAAGTAGAGCTTTTTGTTCCCAGCAATCCGATACTGTGACAGATGCCAACTCATAAAACCAGATCGCTGTCATCACTGTTCCGTCTGTGATAAGTAAGAAAACCTTTCACTGCTTTTCTCACCGCTGTCTGGAGTATCTCCTTTTCTTCTTATTTATGCTTCTCAGACGTTTAGTCAGGAAGTAGGATGCATGTCATCACTTGCATTAAAGAGAGTACGGCTGAGGGCCACCGTCAGTTACCTCGTGTTCCCCGGAGTCACGCTGATGTGAAGTGCACAATGTTTAGCCGTTCTGACTGGGCTGGTTCAACTTAGCAAATACTTCTTCTAGGGCTGTTTTCCACCTTTATAAAGGTAACTTCATTGACTTCATGCTAGTCAGACGTCAGTGTATATTTAATATACTACAAGGACAGTATGCTTGGCTTAAGGATTGATATTCAACGAAAAGTTCGGTCTAGAATTTTTGCAAATCTGATGATGTTTTACACTTTCTTTAGTGTAAAATAGTTGTATATTACTATATTTTCTTGCTTTTAGAAAATGAGTTATTTGATTTGCCTTTTAAAACTTGCATATTTTATTGCCTAAAGCACAATAAAAATTTTTAAAAAGGATATTTTAAGTGTAAGGTTCTATTATTATACCATCACTAGGGTTGGTTATACATAGTGTTTATTTTAGATGAGAACTTTTGCTATTACTCAGTTTTTAGGTAAGTTAATATTTTTGCAATATTTTAGTTGCTACACCTCTTGAAATAGCTATGTTTTATATTTTTTTAAAAAATTTAATCTGATTAAAATTTTGAGGGGTATTGGATTTTGTTTTGTTTCGTTTTTTAGATGTATTTTGAAGATGGATCATCATTGTCCGTGGTGAGTGTGGCTCTGTACTTAAACAAGATTCTGGACCTTACAGATTTTAATAAATTGAATCACTTATCTGTTTAAACCTTTTTGTAAATGAAACGTTGCAAAAACTGACCTAGCTGCTGTTTTCACATTTAATTTCTAGTATTTGTTTAATTAGCCCAAAAGGGCCTTTCTTCAGGAGAATTTCCATGAAATAATTTTAAGACCAGTTGGTTACTCACATAAAGGTTAATTTTTCATGTTTGCTCAAAACAAAAATTTTTTTATGTATGAACATGCATGAACATAGAGATTCTAAAACACTTCCCAGCAGCGTACACAAATATGTGTACATAAATTATACCGTGCCTCCGTAGGAGTTTGGAATGAATTAAGTTATCTAAAGCTTTAACAATTTTTTTTTAATCTTGATATTAAGAAGTAGAATAGCAAATACAGAAATACACAGATGATATGTTTAAACAAGTTCTGCTTAGAATTCATTCATGTTATGTAATATTTTTAAGTCATGAAATTAGGTAACTTAATAGAGGAATATTTGACCGTTCTAATTAACTAATAGGAGCCCTGGTGGTGCAAGGGTTAAGCTCTTGGCTGCTAAGTGAAAGGTTGGCAGTTTGAACCCACCTGGCAGCTCCAAGGGAGAACAACCTAGCAATCTGCTGTAAAGAATACAGCCAAGAAAATCCTATGGGGCAGTTCTACTCTGTCGCATGTACTGTTTCAGATATCAATGGGTGTGTGCGTGTGTGTGTGTGTGTGTGTGTGTGTGTGTGTGTGTGTGTTTGTATGCCTTCTCCCCTTTTTTTCAAAAGTGACTATCTTATGGACTTGGTCTGTGTCTTTTTTTTTTCCTTCACTTAATTTATCCTGGAGATTTTCCATATCAATACACAAAGGACTTCCTTGTTCTTTTTTACAGCCATGTGTGAATGTAACAGTCACTTATTAAAGCCCTGTTAGGATGTCCCCAGAGTGTAGCGTAGCCTTTTCATACAGGTCTTGTATAGGGTTTTGAAGTTCAGTATCTACAACTTTGAGCATTTGAAAGATTAGGTAAGCAGTGCCTCTCGGTTGTCATGATCTCAGCCTATCTGCTGTGGCCCGTTAAGGTTACCCATCAAGGTGCAGGGATTCACCTCACACTTGTGTTTGAACTAAAATAGAGATTCTGTAGTATTTG